GTGGGGCTTAAAATTCGTACAACCTACGGAAAATCAAATTATCCCATTCAAGTTTCAAATACTTAGATACCAAGAGCACCTGATTCATAGACACTCACAGGTAAAAAGTGTCCATTCGGTGGAAAATTAACTGAAAAGATGGGAAAAATTATGGCGTAGGGTTTGTTTTTTCTCTCGATTTTGACTAATCCAAAGTAAGTGGTAGAGTGTCAAGGTGGTACCATATTAAAGCTCTATCAGTTTCTATTCGGATTCTTAAAGAGTGGGGCTTAAATTTCATAAAACCCACGGTCAATCAAATTATCCCATTCAAGTTTCAAATACCTAGATACCATGAGCACCTAATTCATAGACACTCACAGGTAAAATGTGTCCATTCGGTGGAAAATTAACTGAAGTGATGGGAAAAATTATGGCTCAGGGTATGTTTTTTCACTCGATTTTGACTAATCCAAAGTGAGTGGTAGAGTGTCAAGGTGGTACCTTATTAAAGCTCTATCAGTTTCTATTCGGATTCTTAAAGAGTGGGGCTTAAAATTCATAAAACCCACGGACAATCAAATTATCCCATTCAAGTTTCAAATACCTAGATACCATGAGCACCTGATTTATAGACACTCACAGGTAAAAAGTGTCCATTCGGTGGAAAATGAACTGATGTGATGGGAAAAATTATGGCGAAGGGTATGTTTTTCTCTCGATTTTGTACTAATCCAAAGTAAGTGGTAGAGTGTCAAGGTGGTACCATATTAAAGCTCTATCAGTTTCTATTCGGATTCTTAAAAAATTTTAATATTTCACAATGAAGAAAAAAACACACATTCTTTTTTAATTTAATTTTGCTTTTGTCTCTTTTTTGACCCTTTCGAGCTACTTTTTGGCTTTTTTTTGTATGCGTTTTGAAAAAGCAGCTTTGTATCTATTTCGAAAATTGTAACTTTACCATTTCGAATTTTTTTTAGAATATCGGTTTTAGCGAATTTTTTTTCCTTTTTTGCTTAGTTTGTATCGACCAATATTCTACCGGCTCAATGACCCCATATTGCGTCATTTGACTAGCAAAAAAACTTTTATATGCGTTTGTGTTTTTTTTTCTGAGGAAGGTTTTTTTTACAAACGCTAAGCGTAGTGTACTATTACGAAGAATTTTTTCCCAACTTAAGTCGCAATTAAAAGTGCTCAATTTGCGGTACTTTTGGTATATTTCAAATACCAAATCTTGGAAATTTCAATTTTTCTCAAAAACTCTTGTACTGATAATCAAAAAAGTGGTACCGATGAAAAAATCGGGGGATTTTCGACCCAATTGTTTTAATTTTTTTTCATTTTCTCAACTTTTTTCAGTTTCAGATTGTAGTAGTAAAAGCACAAATCTGAAATTATCAATTCAATCAAAAGAACAAATCATGGGTATCTTCCCTTCTCAAGCGGTTATTCCCTAAAATCTTTAGAAAAAATTAATGGCCTCAAACATGCCCATTTTTTGTTTTGACATTTTGGCTAATTTTAGTTTTTTTTTGGTTCTCAACAACTATCCCTGCAAAATTGGAGATTAAGGTTTTAACCGAAAGCAAAAAAAGTAAGTTGTGCGACTCTCTTCTGCGCGAGAATCTATGCCTTAAGTTTTGAAAAATACGACATTAGAAAAAGTCCTATTTTTGAAATGTTTTTTTTGGAAACTTTTTTTCCCGAAAACTGACCTGCCGTTTCTGAGGTTGATAGTTGATCCAACTAAATTAACATGGTGCTTAAATTTTGCCTGCGTAGTCTTGTTTGTAGAAAAGCCGACATGCACTTCAAAAAATCCAATTCTTGAAACTTTTATTATTTTTTGACGAAATTTCATCACTTTTCTCAAAAACTACTAGTTAAATCTGAAAATCTGATATTAAGAGTTCAGTCTAAAACTTAGGGAAAGGAAATCTTCCATCAACAAGACGCCATTTCCATGCTTTAGTAGAGAAAAGTTTATGAATTAATGAAAGTCATTTTTTTTTCGTTTTTCGGATTCTCTTTAACTTTTTTCGAAAACTACCCAGCCAAATTTGAGTGTAAGATTTTAGTTGAAAG